ATTGAAAACGGTTCTCAAGCAGGGGAAAACCGATGGCTCAGTCTCATCACCTATGGATGTTCAGAAAAATATCACGTTCAATTTGTTTTTTTGCACTTATTTTGCCTCATTCCGAGTCTGAGATTTACAAAAAATATCACTGCTACCGTCATGCAACAAACACTGTCGTGGCAGAGTGCGTCAGGGATGAATAAGCCCGAAAGGATTTTTCTGGAAAAAGCCGCAAAAAAAATATCTCCCAGGGTCATTCTCCAACACACACAGGATGCACTTTCTCATTGAGATTTACAAACGGATGGCACGCTATCCATAACATGATGCTGAAGGCGCAAGAGAAAATAAAGTGGGCAACAAAAATACCCAAGAGAGAAAAATAAATTCAACCCATTCGTCAATAACAGTGCCTTTTAAAAAAACATCTGCAAACTCACAGTCCTGGTCAAGGTCAATTTAGACCCAGCATCATTCCTCCGAGATCAATAACACGAGTACAAGTTTTGTGGAAGGTCAACAGTTATTGACCTGTGGACCGTAAGAGTGAGCAAATAATGAATAAACCACCACCGCTGGATCACAGGGGCGGCATTGAGAGATGAACGCACTGGCAGAGCCAGTGGGGGGGGGGGGGTGGTACGTGCCCCCCCAATGATTCGATCGAAATCCTTAATTTCGAACGGATCATTGGGGTTTATTAGTAATAAATCGGCATTTTGCGACCCCCACTGCCACTGTGTAGCATGTTATTACGTGCCAGGGACTCTATGAGATGATAAGACAATAGTCTGAGTGCATAATTGGAATAAGTAACGGCAAAGCAGTTATAAGTGACTCACAGAATAGTGTGCAGTTGCATATACAGTACACGACTTCTCTGAAGCCATTCACCTTCAGTGAGCGCGATGCCGATCACACACGGTTCGAATTCGACCCTCGATCGATGGCTGCGCCACACGCGTCGAATAAAAAGCAAGAGACAAGTCCTCACTTACTAACAACTCCTCTATCATTTTTCATTGCTAGAGGGGTTGCCCCCCCTACCTGAAAATCCTGGCTCCACCATTGTAAAAACGCCACATCACCAACACTCATTTGAGTGGGGAAAAAAAAAACCTTCAAGATGATACCATTTTTTTTTAATTGAGTTTTAATGCAGCAAAGATGGGGCATTAAGCCACAATAATTGCATACCTTACAGGTACCTAGGGATCAAAATAAAAGGTTCACGTTCAGGTTGGAGACTACACCATATTGTGGAATTCACAGACACTTATGCTCCATTTCACTGTGACATGGGGCAACGTTTAAAATATGCGGGCAAAGAAAAATTGAATGTGCCGTCAAAATGTGAACGTTGACAACAATATGAAGTTTGGGTTGTTGCGGGATGCCCATTAGACAGAGCCAAATAGCTTATTGAGGTCTTCCTGCTGAAACAAACAAAACAAAAAATCTATCTAGATATTCCATGATTGCTAGGGTATGATTTTTTTCAAAAATAAAAATCAACGTATTATCCATGTAATTTGTCTGTACACCAACTACACGTTTAAGCTTCATTCCTGAAGATCCTGGCTGGAAGTGGCCAATTCTTTGCGCCTTTTAAGTGGGGGAGGAAATTGGAGTGGCCGGAAAAAATACCCACACATAATAGCCTAGTCTTTTAAAATTACAGCGACAAGGTTTTCTCCGCTCCTTAATGTCCAACATCACCGTCAATGGCGTACGATGTTGATTACCGGGGCACCGCCGCAGGTCTTTGCGGGAATCCAACCGCTGACTCGGCTCGAACCGGCTCGGCGGTGGTGGGCGGCGGCGATCGCGCTAACCGCAAGGATAATCTAGCCCCCCCTGATATTCGATAAGACTCTCGTTCGCCTTCGCTTGGCGTTCGTACAAGTGTCAAAGTAACTCTACACTCCGGCGCGAGAAAAAAAAGCGACGAGACAAAAAAAATCCACAGGCGTCGGGGCGAAAAGGTCGGGCCGTTTGGGCTGCTTGGTGGTGGTGGGGGGGGGGGGGAGTGGTGGGGGGGAGGTGGTGGGGGGGTAGTGGTTGGGGCGGGGGGATGTGTGGGGGCGACGGGAGGGCGGTAAAACAAAGTGTGGGGGAAGGAGGTTTGTGTGGAGGCTGGAGCGTGATTACAGCTGTTAAAACAGATTATTATCGATAGACCAAGAGACGGGGTGCGAGAGTGGGGTGCAGGGCAAGCGAGCGGGCGAGCGAGCGAGCGAAAGAAAGCAATTTTTCTTAACGCTGCGAAGAAAAAAAAATGCATATAAATTTTAAAAAACGGAAGCGCTGTATTGAGATCGATTCATTTCCTAGTGCGCCCTAACCTTGCCGAGCCTCACATTTCCGAGAATTTTAATCGTTATTTCTCTTCCATTCTTTGCACCTCATCAGCTCCCCTCCGCTTGATAGATGACTGCTCTTAACCCGGCCAAAGCTGGCGGCTCAACACTTCCAATAAAAACACTTGCGCTACATTGTATGTCCATGTTAAAAAGTGAATGTGTTGAGACCTGCGATTAATCTTGCACTTTTCTTTAACAGCGCGGTTTTTTCTCTCTCCCGCATAGCCAAGTGATACCGTCCATTGAGCGACAGCTCTTTGCCTAACCGGAAGACTGCTTTTGCGAAGCGTTGAAATATAAACACACTAATCATTTTGCATCAAAGTTCACTTATTTAATACTTTCGTTCGAGGTTACCACTCGGGGTTCAACAAAAATTGGCCTCTACAAGGTGGTCGCGGTTAGCTCAGATGGTTCATTATGGCCATGCAAGAGCACCTGGGCCAAAACCACTGAGATCCTGGGCCCAAATCTGGGATTCACTCACCAATGATTAAAAGAAGGTTGTTTAAGGTGACGTTGGCTCACGGTGTCACAACGGTCACCGTGAAACACGCAAACTACCATCGTTATATAAACGTGCCTTTCATTCATTTTGGGGACTAAAATGTCCACACACGATAATGTTCTTCCTTTATCATCAGTCATTCTCTATCCGACGCTGCGTTCAGGCATTCATAAGCCATCGCCGCTTCCCGCGATCGAACGATGCAGCAACAGAACTGCTTCTTGTGCTTAGTTTGTTGTCCTTTACACGCACTTCTCAGTTGGCTACATACGATGCAAAAGTATTCAACATACATACAATCCATCTGCATCCACACGAGTTGATCTCATCGCGCTATAATTCCTCAGTGGGCGCTTTCCCTCCTTTGGCTGCCACTCCATCGTTAGACTCGACCACTGGCCATCCCAAAAAAATTTCTATGCTCTGATACATGTTATATCAAAACACTATCAATTCACTTTTGTAAATAAGTCGCCAATTCACAATTTATACTTCTGGCGAAGCATCCTGACCAACGTCAACTAATTTTTCCTGCTTCTGACAGATATGGGAAGCAGGGTCATTTTCTGTTAACGTATTTAGCTATTTACATTCTCGACAATGTCACTTCATGATAATTTGTGTTCGCCGATGACCAACGCAGAGTGCGCCAGGTCGATGACCGACAGTGCAGGCTACCACCCAACATCGTCACGAAAGAATGAATGAGCGCCTTCTAGTGTTGCGCGAGAGCGTCATAACACAGCGACTCTAGAAGCGGTAACACTGTTGGCGTAATCCTCCAGGGTTGCCCCACCGACATGACAACGCAAATCTCAGCTTTTATTTTTAAGGGGGTTTCCTGAAGTGGCATTCCTTCGCGTCGTGACACAACTTCAAGGGTACGCAAATGGAAAGGGCAAAGAAAATTTTGTAAGAGGTGCAATGTACAGCACCTCCATTCTAAGCTGCAAGTTTTCCAGCCGGAAGATCCACAATGTCTGGTGTTTCGCAAAGAAAGTCACATCCCCCAAAAAAACTTTTAGATGCTATTTTACATGCTACATTAAAACACTCGATCTGTTTCTCTAAATAAGTCGCCAATTCACCCGTCACACTCCAGCTCCCGGCTTGGTAACGTTTTTGCGACCAATATTGCAGATTTCAAATCCCTTCCGCAAGTTTGGCTCGATAGACCGAAGTGGAGTAGCTCCCAGCATGCCCAGCACATTGTGGTGCCGCCAGGGTCGCGGGTTACCACAGTGGCGAGATGTTAACGACCTCGCATGGTATACAGGAGGTCATGGCTTCGATCCAGACCCTGACGCCTGCTGTATATTTTGAGTCTGCGTGTCTCTCTTCCCGTGGTCACATAGATTTTCTCCGTTTTTTTCCGTCCATATTTAGAATCAGCATGTGTTTATAGAGTGTCATAGAGTATTTGGCTGCTATACATTTCCACGTGATGACAAGCCACTTCCTTGAGCTATCATTTGTGATAGCCAGGTCGCTTCTGAAAAAGAGCTATAAAGCTAAGTGGGGCCTTACCAGGTAAAATAAAAAAGAGTAAAAACAATTTTGACAGTTTATTTTCGAGCACCACCATGCAGAAAAAACCATATACGGTGTTTCACTGAAGAAAAAAAAACGTATTAGCATGAACCACTTGCCACGTCCGTGCGGACCACCAGTTGCCTGCCGTACGAGGGACTTCACACAGGTACGTCCTGGAGGCTGACCATACTTCACCACACTGATCAGTGTCGGTTGGTGAAGGCGGGGAACACAGATGTGGCAGCTGCACTTGTCCTCTACTGCCCACAGCGTGGCCCCCACAGCAGCCCATAACACCTGTTGTGCATAATGGTTGCCCATCCAAGAAGTGCCATCAAAGGCTCAACCCTGCTCAGGTTAAGAGATCTGACGAGGTGGGGTGATTTCCAGATGATTTGACAAAAGGCAGTACACTATAGTTGTGAACCTGAAAGTCGGGTTGGTGGTTGTAACTTTCAATTCGAGTTGAAAGTCCACGACACCCAACCTTGCATTGGGGACTGATTGGAACACAGCCTCATCGATGTGCGTCATACAAGCAACGGCGGCCGTTGGATCTTTGCGCGGTGATTTTCCCCGCTTTCCAAACGCGCCCGAGTACTCACCTGATTAGGGAGAACACGCTGTAGGAAGTCCGCACAATGTTCTCATCCACCTGCAGGCTACCCTGGGTCCTGTCCGCCAGCTTCTGCAGGAGAGAAAGTGAAACCAGCTCCCCGTCATTGCCGGCAGCATCGACAGCATCTTAGCACCGAATGAGTACGCAAAATCAACTCCGCATCGATTGTTCAGGATTCAGATATTTTTTTTTCTTTTATTTCGTGAAAATGTCCCCTTTCAGCTTCGTCAGAACGAAACCGACGGGACGGATCAGGCAAACCACACGAGACGGCATCTATGGTAGACGGGTAGTATACACAAGAGACAGTACAAACAAGGCAGTTTTTAAAGTTAATTTCATTTTGGTGGGTTAGAACGCACGAGACCAGGATAGCCTCGTCCATAAGTGTGACCTGGGTTGCCAAAATAACAAGAACAATGAAGCAAGCCAAAATGAAAGAAGAAACAAACAAATATAAACCAAGAAATCGAAGTTACTGCATAAAATAAAACAAAATTTACTAGTATAACCCTGCAATGAATGTGCAGACCAGACCAACAAGTACACATTCTCGAGTCAAATCGTGACTATTGAATCATTTGTGTGGGAGCGTAGCACAGTGGCAATGCTTGTGCTCCGCAGCACAAAGGACACGGGTTTGATTCCCTACTCGGGCGCATTTCTGCATGGAGTTTGTATGTTCTCCCCCTGTTCTGCATGGGTTTCCTCCCACAGCAAAAAAAAAACCCCATCCTATGTCACTGAGTATTTTTCTAAAATAACCCAATGCTGGAAAAATTACCCGCAAATTACTCGACTGGGATCGCAGAGAGAAACCATCAAACGACTGCAAAAACTTGGCAGGACCCTCCTGAAAAAGATTCTTAAGACTCCGCGAGCCTTCCCTGGATATAATTGTGTGGTAATAATAATGAGAATTCATCAACTCATAGGGAGGTAGTGCTGAACCATTCCATGCGTACAATTCACACGGGGGTGACCACCGCAGCTCAGGGGGTAACAAGTGTAAACAACCATGGGGGGTCAAAAGGTTGAAGTGTAAAATCGGTTTGCGCTGGCGACAGCTGTCAGGGAGCACTTTTCTCGCTTGACTCTGCTCCCGACTTCGAACTCTCGCCGGAGAAGTCGTGGGGTGAGCCGCGGCACAATCACGGCAGCCGGTCGCGGCTAATCGCACGTTGTTCGTTTTTTTCCCCAACGGGCAGTGGACCTGCCTCATGAGCTACGGTCATTCCGGTTGAAGCAATGAGTGTCACATGGCGAAATAAATGTGAAGTCAGAGCAACACGACAGAGGGCCCAATTAACTCTGACGCTTTTCTGTCCTTCATCATGAAAAGTAACATATCAATGTGCCGAAAGGTGAACTTTCTAATTAATCGGCAGGTACTTCCGGCCGTAACAGAAAATTGTGATCTAAAAATGTGGAGTAAAACTTAAAAATGCACGAAGAAGCATGGAGCGATGAGCGCTTGGGATTACACTTAGAGACAGAAAGAGGAACGCAGTGGATTGGAGAACATATGCAGGTTAATTAGTTCACCTAAACTATTAAGGAGGTGGCTTGGGCAAGACACATCGCAAGAAGGGATGATTGACAATGGTCAAGGATAACAACTGAGTGGCAGCCAAGGACTGGAGCACGTCTGCATAGTAGTAGAGTAAGTCAGCCGCTCATATCCCTGCATGGGCTTTTGAGCATCAGCCAATCAAATGCCGTAGTTTCCTCCCACATACAAAAAAAACCCAGAATGCAACAGATCACACATCTCAACCAGAACCCTCCTGAAAAAAAGACAATCTTTGCGTTCATTTAAGGCTTTCCTGTCTAAAGAGTAATTCATATTTAGTAAAGTAAGGGCTGTAACGTATACTGTTTAAAAAGCCAAAGAAAATAGAGAGAAAAAACGCTGAAAACTGTTAAGAAGCATGCAGGGGTGCATATTTGGAATTGCGCTGAGACTGGAGGAAGAACAAAAGGATTAGTGAACGTTCGCAAGTTAGGGGCATCACAAAAACAGTGGACTTGGGCAGGACACGTCATTGTCGCTTGAAAAGATATTGGCCGGTGGTCAAGACTTGTGATGGGAATAGTATCCAAAAGTGGGAAAATGCCCAAAGGGTTCATCTATTGCACCATTGCGGAGGTGAAACGAGCTAATGCGCAGGTGTTAACTCGATTGTTGCATTGCTTGGAGAGGTCTACATCCAGCAGAAGATAGAGCATGGCTGATGATGACACAACAATTTAAAAAACGTTGTGTGGGGGCATTCTTCCTTACCTTGCGATTACTCAGAGTTCCGTAATAACCGTCGGTCATTCCGAACACGATGGAATTCGGCGCATCTGCCCGTATCTGTAAGAGTACAAAAAATATAAATATATATAAAAAGTACGTGACAACCAAAAAAAAAGAATGTATAATCATATTTCTTTTTTCCCCGCACAAACACCGCAAGCTGCGATCGCCGAAACGGCCGGACACCTGGCTGAAACTCCATCAAGCAACTGGGAGGGCAACCATCCATCGACGGATCGAGTCACATTTCTTCTAGCCGTCCTGCTGGGATACCACTTTAATAATTAGGAACACATTGGAGAAACACGCACGGCGCTTTCCGCCCGTCCGCACGTGAAAATCGCACAAATGCCTCCGCGGAATTGCAGTCTTGGGGGGGGGGGGGGGGGGTGAATGCTCGCACGAAAATTGTACGATAAAAAAAAAGGCGTCGAACAAAGCGATTGCATGCGCGCCCAATTTTTCTCCTTTTATTATTTAAGCGGGGAGTTATCGCGACGACGTGTTCTGCGCGATGCTGTACTTTTTTTTTACAGGCGGCGCTCTTAAAAAGCTTTTCCTTGACGAAACGCACACGCCGGCACCTGTGCACACACGCTATCGATAATTGCACGTATGGTGGCAGAGAGAGGGGAAGAAAAAAATAAAGGAACGAGAGAAAAGGGGCACGTGCACGGAGCAGACACCAAAGGACGCCCCGTCGCTCTGTAGAATGTCTGATGCGTTCAAGCTGCCGCTCCGAGTGCATTCCACGCGGCGATTACGCTTCAAAATAGCGCGCCTCTTTCCTTCCTTCCCACCGATTGTTTTTCCTTCGAATTTCTTCCCTGCAAGCCGGGTGCCCCCCTCCCCAAACCCCCGGGAGAGACGTTTGCTCGCGCGTTAATTTGCGCGTTCGCACGCGCACCTCTCTCTCGTAGGTCACCGTTTATTGAGGCGTTGCGGTGAAAGATTTTTACACCGGCGGGCCCACATGTGAACAAGCAGGGCCTCATTGTCAATACACTGCTGGATGAGGAGACTGCCGTCGCAGTGCGGTTCGTGGCAGTCGTTTGACCATAATTCACCACCGTTGGGTCAGTGTCGCTTGCTGAATGTGACGGAGCATAGAAGCACGGTACAATTTTTTGCCGCAATGCTCTCTGCGGGACAAACACGTGGTGCAGCCCCGCAGCTGCCGATACCAACCTGGTGGGTCAACGGTGGTCGCCAACCCACGTGCGATCGAGGCTCAACCACTCTTCTTAGCCCTTTGAATTTTGGAGAGCTCGTGTGCATTGTAGTCGATTTGCTATTCGGCATCGGACATGACGTTAATAACAAATCCATTTTTATTCTTAGCTCTTTCGGTAAAGTCACGTTGAAGGGAAACAAAATAAAATAATAAAATATATATGAAACAATAAACAAAAATTCTCACGACGTTCCGACCATAACACAACGGTCATCGCCTGATTATTTTATTGTTTCCCTTCAACGTGACTTTACCAAAAGAGCTAAGAATATGAATTACTGCAGTCACGAAAGCTTTAAATCAAAATTTAAAAAATCCATTCATACGGCGCTTTTCGGAGAACAACAATAGCTCGGTGACTCTTGCGGTGATGCACATCCCACCCCACGTCAACTGCCAGCCACGCCATTCAATTCAGGTGCTGCATTCAACTGCGGCCCACGCTCTCGCTCCTCTTTTTCTTATAAACCAGGCTCATGTTGAACGTGTCCCATGAAGTGCCCGCTAGTGTAACATCAGTAACAGCCGACGCGCTTACTGATGACACGTCACTTGTTGAAAAGCAGGTTGTGTGCCAAGAGAAGCACAGAGGCCATCCAGATCAGCATTGTTGTATTGCCAAGTAATGTCATTAGCCTCGTGAAGTTTACGTCTAAGTGTGTGTAGGGTGACTTTAGAGTGCTTAGACAATGGTCAGATGTAACAACTGGTGCAGCAACATCAACTGTGTATGGAATTGAGTCAGAAGTTTGGAACGGCTCAAAGGCACTGAACCAATCGGAGAGAGAATTTGGTGTGCGAGTAGCGCAGTTATCCCCAACTGTTCCAGGTTGTAAAAAAATCCAGCTGCACGGCCAGATTAATCAGCTGTCTTGCTGCCATGAACAGGTATGGACATTAAAGTGACCAAGGACAATGATCTCAGCGGCTGGATATTGCTGATATACAATTTGAATTAAAAAAGCATTTGCATTTTGTAGCACTTATCCTTGACCATTATTTAGCATCCCTTCTAGCGACGTGTCCTATCCAAGCCCACTTGACAGCACAATTATAATCAGAATCAGAATGTTAATTTAAGACTGGAGGAATCCGATGAGCTATGAAGCTCTCTTTCACAGATGCCCCCTCCCCCCGGTGAGCAGCGGCGCAGACGGAAGCCGAGAGGGGGAGACGCGACAGCAGCACGCGGTGACATCACCTGGGGGCCCACGTATCGAAGGCCGTCGAGATGCACGTCCCACTCGATGAGCGCTGAGAAGCGGTCCCCTCTGCCGCCGTACACGCGCACCACCAGACGCGACACCGATGTGTCCAGGTTGTCTGGCATCAGCCCAAAGTCCAGGCTGCACCATGTCGGGTTCTGGACGGACAGGGAAATTAAATTACAGTTCCGTGGCGTATTAATCGCGCATCGTTGGGCAAAGCTTGCTTGAGAATCAGAATGTTTGTATGTACATATATTTAAAGTTATTTCACACCTTAGGTAGTTAACCATGCTAATCGGAGGTGTGGAAAGACTGGAGGAATCCGATGAGCTATGAAGGTTTTTTTCACAGATGTCTAGTCAGCAAGTTACAACAACAAAAGTATCTCCCTGTGCAAATGAGCAATGAGGCAGAGCTATTCTCTCTACTGGAGACCCTGAGCCAGTGATGGAAATTCCATATTTTCATGGCTCTGGCCAGTCTCTCCAGAGGATGAACACTGCTTGACTGCCCACAAAGTGGTGCGGGAATCATTTTAATTGACCTTGTGAAGTTGACAGGCTTAGCTGATTGCAAATCAAGAGCTGAATTCGTAAAATTTTAAATTGTGGGTCACGTGTTCTAACCACGACATTGAATCAAGTTCCATTTGCAAGCATGGAACAAGTACGAATTGAGTGGTAGGGACAGTACCACGCACACAAGCCCAGCTGCTTTTGCTTCTTCAGTGCTGTGACCCGATCACACCACAGCTGAAGGAGAACATGCACAATGCACCTGCCAAGGGCACTAACAATGCACCCCATCGGCACCAGAGGACCCAAGTTCCCCATCTCACCTTAAGAGACCAAAGGCACAAGTGCTGTGAGCGAGCAGCAACTAAAGCTGGAATGGCACTCGAGGAATTAATTTGGTCAGCATCAATCGTGTCTGCCTGTGTTTTCCCACTGCTCACATACCATGAAAGATGCTCATTTAAGGTTGAGTTGATCTAGTGAGAGGCCCACCATCAGGTTCAGATGCCACTTGCTGAACATGTACATAGCCAGGAATCAAACCCATGCAGCCGGGATCGTAGGGCAACGTGCAAACCACCGCACGACTGCTCCTCGCACAGTTACATCTATGCTCGTCGCCACCACACACGCGCGTGCAAACAAGAGCACAGGACAAGCATTCCTACCAAGAATAGTTGTTAGTGATTGCGACGAAGGATCGCTGTAGCCAGCGTTGTTCGGCGCGTGCGAGATTCAAATGCCCCCCGCCATCCGAGTGCCGTCAGGCCCAACACCGAACCCCATTTCGGCTTTCGCAACGGGGGGGGGAAGGGGGCGGGGAGGGTGGTTTGGGGCACAACTGGCCGCGGCGTTCCATGACCAAGCCCATCTCTCATGTGGCTCCGGCCACGTATAACTAAAGAGATGAGTTCAAACCACCCAGCGGGCAATGGCATGCGATGCATGGCTCATAAATCGCGAGCTTCTGCCAAATGCGAGTCACGTGGTGCCGCGATTTTGTCCCGTGCAGCGCGGCGTCAAGCCGGGCGCAATATTTACGAGCGGTGGGCCGAAAAGTAAAAAAGCGCCAACAGAATGCAAATAAAAGATCCAGAAAAAATTGTAAATTTTCTCGTAAAGTACAACTTTTGGGTGCTGTCCATCACCTCGGTAATTGTTTTGTGCTGGGATGTCACTGGTCCGTTGGTCTTTTTTTTAAGTCTCCAGACTCGCAGATCGTGTGCAGTGTCCTTTTAGGGAGACTCCCTGCTCGGGTTGCTTTGCCAATGCAGGCAAAACAATTAAACTTCACACAGAAATCAATAAATAAAACTCACTACTCTCGTCAATAACCTGTTCATATTAGTGACGAAAGAGGTGCTTAAAAATATACATACCGTACCATGACAGGCACCACCTTCTTACCCAGGTCACAGATTTCATGCATCCACCAACCCCTCCTCCAATTTTCTGGATGAGCCATGGACCGCGGCAACCACGTGTGATATTACAGATCCTTGTCTGTTTGTTATTTCATTACCCATCATTCTTTGTTGAGCCTCTATCATCACCACCATCATCATCAGACCATTAACAGTGGTGATTGTGGTGGCACCAGCCATACTTTGGCAATCATCTCTCTCCACCTCCTATGGTCTTTTGTGATCTGTATAACATCTGCTGCTGATCTCTCTGTTCAAGGTTCTCTCTGTTGCCTATAACATCAGAGAAACCAGATGCATTTAACAGGCCACACACCCTGCTGATGAGACTCCGAGAAGGTGAAATCTAGTCCAGGGTTTGCCTGCTTAAACAAATTCTTATGGAAAACACTGGCCCACTGATTGATGGGCCTAAATGATACTTGAATTTTGAGCAATGAAACAGATCCCATCCTGTATGCGCATTATTTTATTACATGTTAGTGGACACGTCTACTGAACCACGATCATCTTCAAATTTCTGCCACGTGCCGCTAACATCCCAGCCATACCATGCACCACTCCCCGGGTCCCGTCCTCGCCCCCCCCACGGTGCTGCCGCCAGCCCCCCGCCGTGCCACCACACTCCCCGCACCCCCGCCTTGCCGCGAGAGATCAGGTTCACTCCGGGTTGTCCCTGGGAGGGCGGCCGAAAGCAGCAGGAAGGGCTGCATCTACTAACCAACGAACACCTCCCTCCACGCCCCCTCCGCCCCCTCCGCCCACCACCAACAAATATTCGCACCCTAAAGTGTCACTTCCCACTGTGCGACGCGTCAATCATTCCCTCCCGGAAACACGCAGCTGTCCGAGGTCCTCTAGCCACTGTCCACCCAAGCTTCTTCATCATCATGCCCAGTTGGCTGTCAGCTTCTTTATTTACGGATGCTTTATTTGTTAACACACACCGTGTGTGTGTGTTTTAAAAATAAATTATTATTCTTTGGCTACAGCGCCATCTGCTTCTGGGCTCGCATCTAATCGCCGTGTGGCAAACGTGACCGCGTGCACACTTAGCATCATCATGATCATCAACAACCATGATCTATCCAGATTGAATGACGCCTCCCCAAGCCACTGCCCCCTCTCGTGATATGACGATGTAAATAAACTGAGCTGGCACCTGCACTCGAGTAGAATTCGTAGTTCCTTCTCGACGGACGTCCTCTCGGGAAGGGGATAGAGGGGGGAATCTCCTTCGGCTGCCTCCTCCATCATTATTCTGAACCATCGTCCCTTCGAGTGATATCTCCTGCTCAAGCCCGCTTACGTGTCTGAATGGTCAATACAATGTCCCTGACATCTGTTTGTCCTTTAATCCACGTGCTCCTCTTTCCATCTTTCGCTGTAATTCCAAGCGCACATTTCTCTATTTCTTCTGTGCACGTGTTTAGTCTTTGTGTTTAAATTGGTATAACCACTTTGGTGATTAAAATCTGTGAAAGGAACATGGAACCCAATCCATAAAAGAGCTCTTATCTTAATAGGTACATAGAGAGGCCGTGTATCCTAGAATGTCAGATATCAGGGTTCGAAGTGTCGTTAATGATAAAATTTACCTTCAAATATCCGGCGTACCATTGCACAACGATGGTGACATCACCGACACGTGACCACGTATGAATACACACGAGCAGTGACATCACAAGAGCCAAGGTGGTGCCCTTTAACGTAACTCTAAATAATTTATTCCTGATTATGGAGACCGCAGACAGCCTTGATAAGCATGAAATCTACAAGAGGGCAAAAGGGCTGGGAGATATGCTCCTTAGCAAGGGCTGAATAAGATGTTTAACTACCTTTGGAAAGCAACCACGCTAGGACTGTAAACTGAATCAGAATACGTATGTATACCGGAGGAATCTGATGAGCTATATAGCTCTTTTTCACAGACGTCCAGCAGGGGCGAGTCAGAATGTACGCATGGATTGTTTGATCAGAACAACTTGAAATAGCACAGCGCTTAAATTGGAGACAATGTTGTTGCCAGGTCAAAAAATTATTGCCCTCTCCGTATCCAACGGGTTAAGCTGTGAAGCTTGCAGTGACGGATACATTTCGATTTCATAATAAAGGTTTTTGGGTTAGGTCGCGTAAGTATGAATGTGTCGTAACCCAGCACCACCCAACGCAGCCAAACAGGAAGATTTGTCACGAAAACAAAACGTGCTAAACACATTCCTGCAGAGGGAGCTGGTAGGAACATTGGGTTGCTCGGTCAATGGCCAGGGTCAACGGCGGCGTGGTGTATACCGCAAATATGCCCGACTGTGAGGGCGGGCACAAGCCGGCGTGAGTAGGTTAAACGTTGAGTTTTATAAGGGCACCACGGGGTGACCAGCCCCTCCCCACCCAGCCCCACCCCTCCCACCCTCCCCACCCAGCCCCACCCTCCCCACCCAGCCCCACCCTCCCCACCCAGCCCCACCCTCCCCACCCAGCCCCACCCTCCCCACCCAGCCCCACCCTCCCCTCAGCACCCAGCCCCTCCCCACCCTCCCCTCTCCACCCAGCCCCTCCCATTTTGGGATGCACGACGGACGGACACAATAATCCATGTGGGCTGGTGTAACCAGGAGGTTCCTACCAGTATTAGTTACTACTTCAGCCTACCGGTGTGTCATGGAGAGTAAATCCACAACATTTACAATTTGAGTGCAAATTTTCGCTGTTGATTACATCCAGTATCATCGGACAATTTGCAAGATGACCTCATCACTGTGAGCCAATCAGGTGCAGAGAGCTTAGGGGGGGTTTATTGTAATTACATAACAATAGATTGAAATAATCACTGTTAATTAGTAATTGGTGCCTTCGCAATGCATACAATTGTAAGGTGTATGACTTCATAATAGTTACGCGGGGAGTTTCAAAGTGGTTGGCCTCACGTGGTCGCAGGGCGCTTAAAATTACATCGTGGCCAAAATTCAGCCCCTGAACCGTATGTTCCTTATCCCTCATCTGTGCCTTACCCCTCATCTACGAGATGAGAACGAATTGTTTATTTTTTTTATTTAAAGCTTTCGTGACTGCAGGGATTCATATTCTTGGTTCTTTCGGTAAAGTCACGTAGAAGGGAAACAATAAAATAAAAAAATATATAAAACAATAAAAGTCTCACGACGTTTCGACTGCAACACAAGCAATCATCATCAGGTGTGAAAACCACAGCAAGAACATTTTTTTAATTTTCTTGCTGTGGTTTTCACAAAATTTGAAAATGTTCTTGCTGTGGTTTTCACAGCAGTCGAAAACGTCGTGAGCATCTTATTGTTTTATAATTTTTATTATTTTATTGTTTCCCTTCTACGTGACTTTACCGAAAGAACCAAGAATATTAATTGTTTCTTGCCATGACTTTTAGAGCGATAACCTCCAAGTCAAAAAAATGAAGGGCCTCCGCTCAAACGAGCAATGCTGCAGTGTTCATTTTCATTCGGCAGTTCTGATCAAGCGACCGAATGTACACATTCTCATGGCAGGGGCCAATCGTACAAAAAAAGGACGACCACTGTTGATTCACCGAGTCAATTCGTGAGCTCGATTTGAATTCTCAACCCGTCACGATCCATTCGTGTGCTATTTTTCTTACCAGAGAATCGCGTATGACCTCGCTTGTGTAAAATTCTGAAAAACACAACGTGCAGCAGAATTAAATCAAACATCTTGTTCATAAAAAGCCAGTCATTCGTGCACATGCATGCCACCAATTTGCAATGCCGCATCGACACAGGCTGAAAATGCATAATCAAGCTCTGTACTGAGAGATGAGGCATTGGGTTGAATGGTATATGAATATAGAATGTTTTGCTACATGTAGGGGAAGAACAACATACCAATTCATCTCTTTAAATCAATTCTTAGACCCACATCACATGCGTGGAATTGTTTGTTTAAGAATAAATGTGTTTATTTGTACACAGTATATGTTGTATGTAATGAGTTGATGTGAACCCTGCAACCACTAGTAGTTAGGCACCACATTCACTCCAGTGACGACAATGGTGAGCCCTGAATGGTGACAATACATCACATTGCTGGGGGGAGGTGAATCATTCCACCGCTGTAATGCAATAATATTCAGATGAGAATAAAAATAACACCAGCGGTCCCTTTGCTTATACCGAGTGTTTAATTGATGGTCTCCATTGGCATTGTCCACTTGCGGCGGAATTTCCATATTCCTAAGGGAGTGCCCAATCTCTCCATAAGACAACCCCTGTTGACTATCAACAAAGTGGTAGTCATTTTATCAACCCCCGGAATGAAATATGAATGGCCACTGTCGTGAATTATTTCTTGACGACAATAATTCCGAAAAACAAGGCAGAGAATTTTCCAGTTTTCCACGAGAGCGCTTTCCAAAGGCAAGGGTTAGCTGCATCAACAAACACCACAACACGATTATGGTTAATTGATGAATTTGTAATTACGTTGAAGACGCAATGTAATTGTCATTTCAGGTTAAATCTGTAAGTACAGCCCTCGGTAAATCCACTGCTGGATGGGGGGGGGGGCTCCACAAGCCATGTGGGGTCGCGGCGGTTATTTGACAAACCTTCCCCGCACTGGTCACTTGATGAAGTTGAGGAGCACAGACTAAACTATAAAAACTATTTTACCAGGTAAGGCCCACTGAGCTATACAGCTTTTTCAGAAGCGACCTGGCCACAAATGATAGCTCAACGAAGTGGCTTACTGTGTGGACATTTATAGCAGCCAAAGACTCTAAACGCGTGATGTCGTTTCTAAATGTGGAGGGAAAAACCGGAGGACCCGGAGAAAAATCCACGCGACCACGGAGAGAGAGAGAGACGCGCAAACTCCAAAAATACAGGCGTCAGGGTCAGGATCGAACCCAAGACCTCCTGCATACCAGGTAAGGTAGTGAACATCTCACCACCATGGCGAACAAACATGGGAGGAGAACAGAGTAGTCCAACAATAGAATGTATTTCACTGCCCTCTGCTACCCACCATATATTGCCACAGCCTATAACACCTAGTATGCATGGTGGCCGCTCATGCTAGCACTATTCAGGTTCATCTCGGCTTAGCTTCCAATATGTGATGTGATCGGGCACATTCCAGGTGAGTTGGTCATAGGTCAGCTGACAATGCTGCTGTAATTGTAATTATAATTGACCCCGGCATGTTAACAGCACTGTATGAAAAAAACACAATCGGGTGGAGATGGAGTGGCAGCTTCGTCAAGAGAGGTCCACAAAACTAAAGTTAAACAGGAGACGGAGCAATGGAATGGTTGCACATTCGGGGAATTCGGCAGAATGCAACTGCACAGAACCTTATTCGGCCAGCAGTGGTCATGAGAAAAGGATCTTATTTAATTATTCAACAGTAAATTATGTAACTTTGATGAAAATAAATTATGGCTGTTATCCCTAACCATGCGATGTGCAACAGGAGAATTGGAAGGGTCATTGCCCGAAACGTTGCCTATTATATACCTTTTGATTTAAAGCTTTCGTGACTGCAGGGATTCATATTCTTGGTTCTTTCGGTAAAGTCACGTAGAAGGGAAACAATAAAATAACAAAAATATAAAACAATAAAATTCTCACGACGTTTCCACTACAACACAAGCAATCATCATCAGGTGTGGTTTTCACACCCGATGATGATTGCTTGTGTTGTGGTTTTGTGTTGTGGTTTTCACACCTGATGATGATTGCTTGTGTTGCTAGTCGAAACGTCGTGAGAATTTTATTGTTTTATATTTTCATTATTTTATTGTTTCCCTTCTACGTGGTGACTTTACCGAAAGAACCAAGAATATATTATATACCTGTTTCTTTTTGGGGCAGTGTTGTTGACAAATGCGTTGAGATTTTCTTGACTCTTCACAACGTGGTTCAGTGGAGTGTATGTATGTTGAACTTCTTTCGCACTGTATGTAGCCAACTGCGCTAATTGGATTCAAAAGAGTTTGCTTCCTGCCCTTCCTAAAAGCACAAAGCCAACCTTTTACAAAACCTAACATCGGCTGTACTGGGGGAAATCAGCTGCGGTAGCAAAGGTTGGGATTAGAGGATCTTGTGCCCAGGTGCCCAGTGAACACGCGGTCTTTGCAAGCTCCGACTCGCCAAAAAAAAACAAACGCGTGCCACGCCAAAATGAAACCGAGAGGGTCTCCAGCAATAACAGCGACTCGTCAAATATACGATCAAATATCTTTTTTGTATCCTTTCCACATACTACTAGAAGAGATGGGAAGTCAAAACCCTCCCCCACCCCGACCTTACGAGTGGAGATGTTTACAGAGAGAATATGGATGGGAGCTTGGCTTGAACCCTAAAGGTGACAGGAAAATCCAATAGAAGTCCTGTTTATGAGAGAAGCACATGCCTCTGTAAATACCCTTGCTGTGCAAATGTAAATATCTTGTTCTGATGTAAGCCCTCTCTCTTCCTCTTGCCCCTCTCACGTCTCCCCTTCCACTCTTCTGGTGAAATAACCCTTATCCACGAAGCCACCCTCTTAATGAGCGAGTGCTGCTTTCAATCAGATGTGACTTTTACATTTAGTAATTTGGAGGTGGCTATGTTGAATTTAGTTATATGAATAGTTTACAAGACTTTGTCAATCGACTTCTGGATGAAGGCCTCCTCAATCCGAGTCGGTTAGGGTTTTTTTAATCCATCCTGGTTAGTGTAGGTTAGTTAAGGGGTTTTGGGAGGTCAGGATTGGTTTAGAAATCACTTGCCACTGATGTTGTCCGTGGCTGGGAATGGCACATTGTAATATTTTTTTAATGCAAGTTGCACAAGTCATTTTTATCCAGACTAGATTAGAAACCTCACTAAACTTGAGAAAGTGGTTCATCACAAGATGCTGCCCGGATTTGAACCCTGGAACTCAGTGGTGCTTGACTCAGTGCTATAAACATGGGCATATTTGGTCGTTTGAGTGACGGCGAATTGCACCCACCCACCTCAAAGAACTTTAAACACTGCCCTGCAGAACTTCTTCCGTCTGGCCAATGTTGATGTAGAGCAAATGACGGAGCTCAATTGTGTGCCGCACAGGTTAAAGCTGCTCATTGGCTTTGGTGGAATCGCTACTTTCAAAAAGTAATCAGTCAATAATAATAATAATTGATTTCTCAATGTTTTACAAGTCACGTAAAGCTCAATTTTTTCACAGTAACGTGCTGTCATTACCTGATTATGTTTCTGATTATGGATGTGACATTTTAATGCATGAGGTTAAATTAAGCTTAACAAATGGCAATGTGCTACGATTCTAGGCTTTGTATTGTGATCTGTGTGCATCAGTGGCTGCCGACTTCGTATTAACCCAAGCTGCCAATAATCATCCCCCATTTTAATTGTTAGAATTATCTCACAATGCCAGCATTTGCCCATATAGTAAAACCTTGGATTGCGACTAACTTGGTCCGCGAGTGTTTTGCAAGACGAGCAAATGTTAAAAATAAATTTTAACTTGCTAAACGAGCGAGGTCTTGCAATACGAGTAGTACGTACAGTATACGCTTTGTCTGCCGAGGGTCACGTGATCACAACTGAGCCGATGGTTCTTCTCTCTCTCTCGCTGCAGGATTGTGGGTAATCGTCTCCATTGCTCGGTCTCAGTCGGCGTGGCTCACTCGTATAGTCAACATCCGTGCGAGCGTATATTGTTTACTATAGTGTTGTGACCACGTTTATTTTGCGTCTAAGTGTAGTGACTTATTTAGTAACTGCGCTGCAATAATGGCCCCCTCCTCCTCTCCTCTCTCTCGTCCCCCTCACACCAGCCACGATCAATTTAATCAATTAATTTGATTACTTTATATTAAATGTAAATAATAAACATATAAAAAGGTATTTTGTATTAATCGTTTTTATATAAATATTTTTGGGTTGTGGAACGAATCATCTGGGTTTCCATTATTTCTAATGGGGAAATTCGCTTTGATATACGAGTGCTTTGGATTACAAACACGTTTCTGGAACTAATTATGCTCGCAATCCAAGGTTTTACTGTATTTCTCCATTAGTATTTTTGGAGAAAAAGATAAAGATTCGAATGTTGCTGTGAATAACTATAAAGGGCATGCCTCCTTTATGCAACTCTCCTAAAACTGAGCGCGGGCGGTCCCCGCTTTTATGACGTGACAACGCGTTCCCAGAAATCCCGTCGTCGTAGATTGGACCCAATGTTCCCATAGCCAGGAGAAACGGAAGAAACATCACTTGCCGATGTGTTTTTGTTCATCTAATCAGCCACATTTAACGGGGTATCATTAGTACAAATCCACAAAAAACGCTTGTGAATAACGAAAACTCCGCGCCAAGTGACGTCGGAATCCAGACTGAGACTCTTCGGAACCATGTCGAAAGATGCGTCCGTAAATCAAGTTTCTGCGGTCGTAAACCGATCCACGGTGGCATTGTATAGCCGTCGTAAATGTGGATGGCCGTAAACTGCAGCCTGCCTGTTTTTCTGTTACTTTATTTCAATGCAACCTCAGTGTAGGCTGTTCCATTTTTGCAAATGACATTCATTATTTCTCAATATTTTAACTCAGACCTTGGTTTGTGAGAGTTTGGGTGATAAATTTCCAACAAGTCACATGGCTTTTCAGAGATGAAAAATGCTCAGCATAATGGTGATTAATGTTAACCTCCCCACCCCCGCTGACCAATGTGGTCTAGTGCGGCCAAATAATCCCCACAACCTGCACGGCAGAGGGAGAGACACCAACCACCCCAACTAGCAACTGATGGACAAAGAGCTGTATCAGTTGATCATCGATTATACGGCTGCTTCAAACATTATCCGGCGGTCCAGAGCCTATCCTGCGGTCTCGAGCCGATCCGGCGAAACCGGCAAAACTGCTCCAAAGGCTGTCACCCAGTCCGGCGATCGGCACCATGTGTGACAAAAAAAAGTAGCTACGCTTGATTTCAGTTTTAAATATTATATGCAATACATTATACACTACATACAACTTAAACAATCAAAATACTGCACGTATATACATCACCCCATGCAGAATCTTCAAAACTGGAGTGGTAAGTACGGTACAGTAAATACAGCAATTTTTTCAAGAAGGTTATTTATTTTTATCTATTTGTATGTTATTAAGGCTAATATCACATCATAAACAAATAAAAAAAACACTAAAGAACACGTAACAACACCTAAACAAAATGTCATGCGAGAATGTGCAAAAATAAGACATTTGAAATCACGATGAGATTTTTAAAATACGTTTTTGAAAATCTAGCGCGCCCCTCCCCACCCCTGAAGCCGCCGGATAATCGATGATCGACTGCACACGTTGCCTCAAATTAAAATTACATAGTAGAGCAATACCCCGGCTATCGTCAAGAGATGCGTTGCTGAAAGGTGCGACGACGAATATCGAAACGACGTGAATCAAAGCAATGTACAGGCTGGTAGCTGGAGGCAAAGGCTGAGAGGCGACGGATGACGAGGACGGACCGAACGTTGCCGTCAGCGACGCGAGTGTGACGCTGAGGCGGCGCAAATTCGGGTTGCGGCATTAAAAAGCGCCGACGTATTTGCGAAACGACGTAAAAGGTTGGAGACGTGAACTGGGCTATTACCGTAATTGGAATTTATTACAAATAAAGCAATTACAGTTTGTAATTTACCCCGCGTCTGATTCTTAAACAAAGGTTTGCTGTGTTGTTTCTCTACACAACCAAGACTTGCATTTGTAAAGTATCCCATGGGACATTCCCAGCAAAGAATAAGAATTATTGCTTTCCAGATATAATTTACCACTGTCCGTCAAGAATGTTATCCAATCAGTCAAATAATTAGTTTATAGATTTTAAATGTTTGCTACGTCACAATTCACATCCTGGTGACCCTTGCAAACGAGACATTTCCTCTGAAAGGATTATCCAGGTGAAATATTTTAATGAAAAAATCAGTAGAGCAGTCCTTTTCCAGCCTGTGGTCTAGAACGCCATGGCAGGCGGTTGATGGAACTTGTTACCGATACTCAGCGGTTCCCAGCCTGTGGTCTAGAACGCCATGGCAGGCGGTTGATGGAACTTGTTACCGATACTCAGCGGTTCCCAGACTGTGGTCTACAAGGCCATGGCAGGAGGTTGATGGAACTTGTTACCGATACTCAGCGGTTCCCAGACTGTGGTCTAGAACACCATGGCAGGTGATTGATGGAACTTGTTACCGATACTCAGCGGTTCCCAGCCTGTGGTCTAGAACAACATGGCAGGCGGTTGATGGAACTTGTTACCGATACTCAGCGGTTCCCAGCCTGTGGTCTACAAGGAGATGGCAGGCGGTTGATGGAACTTGTTACCGATACTCAGTGATTCCCAACCTGTGGTCTACAAGGCCATGGCAGGAGGTTGATGGAACTTGTTACCGATACTCAGCGGTTCCCAGCCTGTGGTCTAGAACGCCATGGCAGGCGGTTGATGGAACTTGTTACCGATACTCAGCGGTTCCCAGCTTGTGGTCTAGAACGCCATGGCAGGTGGTTGATGGAACTTGTTACCGATACTCAGCGGTTCCCAGACTCTGGTCTAGAACGCCATGGCAGGCGGTTGATGGAACTTCTTACCGATACTCAGCGGTTCCCAGCCTGTGGTCTAGAACGCCATGGCAGGCGGTTGATGGAACTTGTTACCGATACTCAGCGGTTCCCAGCCTGTGGTCTAGAATGCCATGGCAGGTGATTGATGGAACTTGTTACCGATACTCAGTGGTTCCCAGCCTGTGGTCTAGAACGCCATGGCAGGTGGTTGATGGAACTTGTTACCGATACTCAGCGGTTCCCAGCCTGTGGTCTAGAACGCCATGGCAGGAGGTTGATGGAACTTGTTACCGATACTCAGCGGTTCCCAGCCTGTGGTCTGCAAGGCAATGGCACGTAGTTGATTGCACTTGTTACCGATACGATTTTTGTATAAAAAAAAGCTTTACTCAATGCTGGTCCACGAATATTGACAGTACACCTGGGATCCAGACAGGCTGGGAACCACTAAGATTGTCGCGTAATAAAATAATAACCCTCCAAATGTAGTTTACGGTACCGCGTTACCCATAACACATCAATGGCACATACATACTGCCCCACCGGGTAGGATGTGGCTGTCGTGCCACAAGTGCAGCGTGAAGTACGAATCCAACAGCGCCCTCCCTGCCGGGTTCACCAGATTCCGTGCGGAGATGCTCCGCAGGTGCCGCAGCCGCCGCTGTAATGAAACGATCATCGTCATCATCGTCATCATTATTATTATTAAATGCAGCAACGCACACCGGTGCAGACGGTGTTGAGGCCCTAGACGGGTTTTCACATTGCTATCCCACACATGGGGAATAGAATAATAAATGAAAATCGCTGCTGGATGAGGGCCTCCCTATGTCAGGCAGATGAAGGTTATTTAACCATCCTTCACCGTACTGGTCAGAGTGTGTTGGTGAAGGTGGGGAATGAACTTGGAAGCATAGAAGTATATTACAACAGTAATTCGCTGCACTCTGCTCAGTTGCCATGTAATACCACAGCATGAAAACCTGAAATAATTGGGTTTTAAACGAATTTCTAACTATGACACCATGAAGGCATAAACAACATGTTCCAGCAATGAGTTCCAGCGATTCTTAAATGTGTATGTATGAGAAGCTGCATAGTAAGATGTAATTATATTTTAATGGACTGCCCGTACTGGAAAATATCGCATTCGTACAGCATAAATATTGAAAACTAAAACTACTTACGGGGACGATGTGGCTAAGAGCAAAGCTTAATAACTTCCAGTCAGCATCACCAACCACGGGGCAACCTCTCTGTCTACCAAGCTTGTCCAATCAAATAATTCCATTAAACCTGACGAATCTTAAAACATCTACAAAAATCTGCACCCTGGTGCAATACAAGATTCGGAGTCACCGGCAGATCCTTTTGTATATACAGATACACGCACTGATGCATACAGGACTGCTGTTGGATAAATCCCTGACTAGGCAGTTTGCGTTATCAACTTTCCGTCTGATTTAAAGGAAGCGTTATAATTTGTTTATTGTCACCCTGAGCAGTGCCAAACTATCCCCACAGTGACCACGGAGGGATTGACTTGTCCACATAAAGGCAGAAGAGATGTCAGCAGTAGGCTCTGATGGCTTATAAAGTCCTAACGATTTGTGCAAGGATGAAACCAGTATTGTGCAGTTTAACACGTAGGCTTTCGCGAGCAATATTATTCATAATAAAAGGTTGTTTGGGGTTAGATCGCATAAATGTGTCGCCTGATGAAGCCTGGTTGTAATAACCAGCGAAACGTCGTACTCGAATTGTAAATGTTGTGGGTTTACTCTCCAACACACCGGTGTGCTGAAGTAGTAATTAATTTGCACGCTTTGTTTACGTGACAACCCTATTCTTTGTCTGTGTCGGGTGGTGGCGGGTTTAACGACACATTTATATTCACTCGATCGAACCCCCCACCCAAGAAAAAGACCTTCATGATGGACAATATTATACAGTTGTCACATTGTCCGACTGCTCCTGCTGTCCAAAAGTGTACTGGCCACAATGTTGACCCTTTGAGTTGAAGGTCAACAACCACCCCCCTCGCCCCACCAAGGTTGGGTGCATTATACTCGCGGCGTGAAACCCACATGACACCACACCAAGACGTGACACGGAAGGACCGATCCTATAGTCCACAATCGCGTCTTTTGATGTCTACAAATCACCCTTTGCGTGTCTGTAAACCTACAAGGAACGAAGCGTTACATAATGGGACAAGGAAGACTGACCAATGCATTCGTGACTGTTCATTCAGTTACACCACGGTGTATTCCGTGTATATTTAATGTACCGACGTAAATAGTACGTGCTAAATTCGTATACGTTTACAGATATGTTAAGTTGCATACTCTGCACAATACAGTATACACATACATCTATACACTGGTCTACACAATACTGTTATGCAATGTTGTATGCAATGCGTGTGCGTACATGAGTTAACACAGATGTGAAGTTATACACTTTGATAATAAATACTGTGGCGTATCGAGAAATGTATATACAGTACAGTACTTATGAGTACAGTACAACGCAATGGACTTAATGCACTCCAAATATCACTCTAATGCATGGCAGTGGTATACAGTATAAACATCCAAAACTCTGGTTTATTACATCTCTTGTAACCTTCCATCGATTTAAAGTTGTCGTACACCCTTGCAGTATGTCAATGACGGCATAAAATGACCCATTGAGAAGGCGGAGGCCTCCGCCGCTTAACCCTCGCCTCCTGCGGCCAGCCAACTAGTCCAAACCGCTAAGCACTTCGCGAGCTAGGCCCCAATACGAATAACGCCACTTTTTTTTAAATAAACACTTGGGCATGACAGTTTCACAATTCGTTTTTTTCTCTCTCTCTTTACACAGAGGCGCTTTAAACAGAAAATACAAAAGCTCACAAACCTGCTGCGAGTAGAGCTCTACGTGAACTTTTCGGGCTACCTTATCGTCGGCCGCGTTCATTATGCCGGAGGCATCAAGCCGCCAACGTTTCCGTATCCGACAGCGCACAATTACGCGGGGGTTTTTTTTGTTAACGAACTACCGAGCAGGGAAATAACGTAAATTAAACGCCGAGATATTAACGTCGGTGCTTTTGTAGGAGTCTCGGCCGCCCCGCAGAGAGCGACTGAGAGTAAAACGACGGCGGATTAAGGCGGGATGAAAGTGGATGGTTAATTCGCCCCTCGGTGCGAGGCTGCGGAGGAGAATGTGGCGGCCATGGCAGGGCCAGACCCCATCATGTGACGCCCTCCCACCCACCACCGCCGCCTGTACCCCAACAGATGTTGTTCTCTATCGTTCTCTGTTCCCAACACGTTTTATTTTGCACTATGTGTGTGTGTTTAAAAAAAGAAAGAAAAACACATCTGCATGCGAACACGGCTCGCAAAGTGCGAGGTGGAACGTTCCGCTGAAATAATTGGTAATAACATCGGGGAAGATTAAAGAAAAAAACTACGTGATGAAAAAAAAACAAAAATTGGCGTTTTGTCCTTTCCGGCAATACTGCAGGTGTTTAAGATGTTCAAACACAAACTTGCAAGGCAATCGAGTCTGCATTAACCACACATGCTTGTGGTAAAACGTGCAAACAAACACGATTCGATAATATACGCATCGTCTTTGAAACTCTTTGTCATACATTAGAGGCAGCCTCCTTTTATATGGCCTTGCCTCACCGGCGTGTAAAGCCAACAGCACAAAGGCACAATCCAAATACAAAAGCGTGAATAGCTCGGGTTGAGCAGTTACATCTATGGGACCATTTCTTGACGGTACACTCCCAAAATTATGAAGGAAAAAAATAGGTTTTACCCTTCCTGGCAATAACATGTTAATGGCCCTCATGGCGAGAAAATACACATTTTATTGTAAATCCTATGGATGCCTACCGCCAAACTCAAATCACCATGAGCCATGATCAATCCACTGCTGGTTGAAAGCCTCCCCCAAGCTGTCGCCATCTCACGATCCTGCCACGTAATAATCTAGCACCTGTACATGTGAGTTAATTGTTGTATTGCCAAATCTCAGTAAATGCCTCCTCAGACGTGTGTCCATATCCTTGCCGGCAGGAGCGGAGCCAGGATTTCGACTTTGGGGGGTGGGGGGCTGACTTCAATATTCTGAGATATCCAATTTATGTATTCCAATGGGCGCCACAAATGTATATATATAAACTTTATTGGATTTGAACGCGGAGTTTATTAATAAGTCGGAGCCGCTGATGTGGCTAATAAGTTCGAAAGGCTGCCGCTCAAGCAGCCTGCAGAGCAGCACGAGGTGGCAGCCTGCAGGGCAGCACGAGGTGGCAGCCTGCAGGGCAGCACGAGGTGGCAGCCTGCAGGGCAGCACGAGGTGGCTGCCTGCAGGGCAGCACGAGGTGGCAGCCTGCAGGGCAGCACGAGGTGGCAGCCTGCAGGGCAGCACGAGGTGGCAGCCTGCAGGGCAGCACGAGGTGGCAGCCTGCAGGGCAGCACGAGGTGGCAGCCTGCAGGGCAGCACGAGGTGGCAGCCTGCAGGGCAGCACGAGGTGGCAGCCTGCAGGGCAGCACGAGGTGGCAGCCTGCAGCATTTTGCAGCAGTCGGATATCCGGTTATCTCGATTACCGACTTTCCCAAAATTTCAGGGGGGACTCAGCCCCCCCCAGCCCCCCTGTGGCTCCGCCCCCCCCCGTGGCTCCGCCCCTGTTTTCCGGCCACTACATAACTGTCGACCATCAAAATTCTTGGTTCTTTCGGTAAAGTCACGTAGAAGTCACGAACGCTTTAAATCAAAATGTGTCGACCATCAGTCATCAATCCCCTTGTCCAACTTTTCAGTTTTCGTAGAGACACAGAAATGGGAAGGAGACGTATTGCGTCTGCATGTTTTGTGTTTTTAAATGATATCGATGTCTTGAATGATGTTCCCACACCTGTCAGAGGGTCTTTGCCTATTAAGTATCCGATAGTTCACCAGCATTATCGGTTCAAGCAAGGCTTACTGCTGAGACACTGAATGACAAAGCTGGTATAAAACATACTTTTGTTCTTTCTGGGAGGAACATTTATTGGAAGGCGGTTTTTGTCTGATTATAATTTACAATACATTACTGCATTCTTGTCAACCCCTTATCAGTGCCCTTACCTTATTACAGACCAATTCAGACCTTGTTGGTGACCCCGTGCCCCTTATAAATCTCAACGTTCATCCTACAATTTCCCTGTACAAAATTGGGGTAATCTTTATGGGTTGATAGCTATGTTACTCCATACCACAGGGGTTTGTTTTTGAGTTAGACCGCGTAAATTTTTTTTTAAAAACCTGTATCATGGATATTGGTCGCAAAAGCCTACGTGTTTAACAGTTATATTACTTTTTGACTTAAAGCTTTCGTGACTGCAGGGATTCATATTCTTGGTTCTTTCGGTAAAGTCACGTAGAAGGGAAACAATAAAAGAATATAAAGTCACGTAGAAGGGAAACAATAAAATAATAAAAAAATAATTGCTTGTGTTGCAGTCGAAACGTCGTGAGAATTTTATTGTTTCCCGTCTACGTGACTTTACCGAAAGAACCAAGATTAGGTATGTTACTGTACATATTTTGTGTGTACGAGTTTATTTTTAAGCTACAGTATTTGTTCTTTACATGAGATTCATTATTATTGCATTGATTTCGTGAGGGGGCAGTCAGAAGCCGGCCCTGTGTCAGCGGTGGAAATTCCACATTCCCATGGTACGTGCAAAACTCTCGTGAAGAAATAACACGTGGCCCTATTTACTTCAGCCTATTCCAGATATGTCATCATGAACTTTGTTTTGAACTAGTTTATGATTGTTCTAAAAATAGCTATGCTTTACTCTTTGGTTCTATTCGGTAAAGTCACGTAGGTAAAAAAATCACGACGTTTCGGCCACAACACAAGTGGCTTTCATCGGCCGAAACGTCGTGATTAATTTTATTTTTTTAACCTACGTGGCTTTACCGAATAGAACCAAAGAGTATGGATCCTTGCAGTCACGAAAGCTTCAAATCTAGCTGTACTTTGTATGAACGTGTACCCACGTCTATTCTGCATATCAAATAGATACATATGCATGATGTACACCACTGTAATTCTGTTCGGAACAATTCCAATAAGATTCCCGACGACGGATAACATCAAATCGACAGTCTGGTCGATCACAACATCGTGATCAAGCAGTGGATAAATCAAGGCGCTGTAAAAAAAAAATTTAATTAGTAACATGCACGTTCACGCCTTTATTGTCAACGACACAATACGTGTACGTTATGTAATTATGTACATTATATAATTGTTTAAACACAAGTTCTGCTGTGTTGGCAGAATCCACCACTCCCCTCCCATTCCCTACTCCGCGCGCTCGCTTAATCGGAGTGTAAGAAAAGTTAATTTTATACTCGCACGGTTACATTAAGGTCCTTCAACTTTTGTGTTTCTCGGTTACACATTAAACCACTCCTTCTGCGGTTATGGTGAGTAAAAGCCTCTCATGTAAGTTTGCGGACAATTAAAACTCGTAAACACGACGTTTGAGGAGACTGTACAGTGTCAATCCGAGCGAGGTGGTATAACAAGCGCAAGTCGATACAGTACCGTGTTACTTACTAGTTTAAAGCCTACGCTTATCACAACGCGCTTCTCGTTACTTTATGTTTTACGTGGACTCCGTGTGTAACGTTCGTCGAGGTAGAGTATCGATCGTCAATATTTGCTTTTACAAAAAGTACAAACCGAAATTAAAAAATATACAATCATGGGGCTCGTCCGGGATTTGAACCCGGGACCTCTCGCACCCTAAGCGAGAATCATACCCCTAGACCAACGAGCCAGCCGTTCACTTCGCCTATAGTAACTCAACAAGAGCTGGGCCATCTGGGGACATTGATGGCAATTGTTGATAGAGGTTTTTTTTTTGTAATTTACCAGTAAATTGTGATGGGGTTTCTGATGGCTTATTTGCGTCTCGTGTTTGTAGAAGGAAAAAATATCACCCGAAGCGAGAATCATACCCCCAGACCAACGAGACAGCCACTCACGCTGGGCCCTCTGGGAACAGTGATGGCAATTGTTGATGGAGGTTTTTTTTTGTAATTCACCAGTAAATCGTGATGGGGTTTCTGATGGCTTATTTGCGTCTCGTGTTTGTAGAATAAAAAAAATCTCACACGAAGCGAGAATCATACCCCCTAGACCAACGAGCCAGCCGGTCACTGCCTCTATAGTAACTCAACAAGAGGTGGGCCCTCTGGAGACATTGACGGCAATTGTTGATGGATTTTTGTGTAATTTGCCAGTAAATTGTGATGGGGTTTCTGATGGCTTAGTTTGGTCTCATCGGCTTTTAACGACCATGGGGTACTTGGCTTTGGCCCTGGTGGCAGAAATTTAGAATTGCACTTCTTTTTTGTCGAGTGGGATGGAATGGGCTGCTTGCTGTGACTTGTTTACCAGAGCTGATGTCATCAGCATTTTATTTTAGTCGTTTAAGTCAAGTCGACGACAACATATTAATATTTTAATTTTATATCGCGTTCATGCTAATAGCATCCAACAACGTATTTTTAGCCAAACCATTCTGGATTTCATTTAGTCATTTAAGTCCATATGACGAAGGGTAGTCAACAGCAATGTTCGTCAATAACAGTGGCCTTAAAAGGAAAAATATAATCAGTGACGTTTCGGGCAATGACCCTTCTTCATAGCACATCAGAAGGGTCATTTACCGAAAAGTTATATATGTGATATACTTTTTCCTTTTGAGGCCACAGTGTCATGTACGATTTTTTTTAATTTGTGCTTTTGCACCACCAGCGATGCAACAGCATCACCAAATAATTTGTCAGAAATGTCCACCCTAAGTTAATATTTGTTGGTGTGAGGGGCAGTTATTTTATTACTCACCAATATTATGTCATCTACATTTTTCTTATAAGTAGCAAAACAGAATACATGTGTGAGTTTCTGCTCAAATGACGATGATCTCCTGTTTAAATTCCTGAGCCAGTGGTGGAAATTCCACGTTACTATGGCGGGCCGACGTCATTATTAGCCAGCCACTGTGGACTTCCATGAAGCTGTACTTATTACTGTGTATATTTATAGCTCATTTCAGTACCAATTTTGGTATTCCTCAGTACACTGCTGTAAAATATAACCTTACCGAATTATTTTAGCCTGTCTTCATTCAGATTACTGTGCAGTAGAGTACAAGAAGTTCATTTCTTCTCGTCTAATCATACTTTGATCTTTGGTGAGTAGTCATCATGCTTGATCATTTCTATCCACTTACAGTCAGGTTGAATGAAATAAAATGAAAACGAATCGTAGGTAATTCAGCCATCACTGATTTCCATACACAACTAGAACAAAGTCGTTGAATGAATTATTGCATTACATCTTGTTTTGGCACTGCATAGATAGATATCGCTGGTGAGATTTTTGTTCATTTGCTTTTAACTGGGTGGCTGGCATCAAACCTCGTTTAATTGAATGGCCTCGATTCCATTACAATTATCTGATTAATGTAGCACATCTCGAGGCGCCAGACCAAAAGGTTATGGAAGTGATTGCAGCCCAAATGATGTGCACTTTTAAATCAACTAGATTGAAAACTCATTTCTTTCGAACTGATTTTGTGTTGTTTGTTGTCCTTCCCCCTCATCTCCGATTATCACGGTTGGCTACGTACGATGTGAAAGAAATTCAACATGCGCACGCAAGATGTAAAAAGTATAATACATAAATGAATGAAAATCTCGCCACACCACCTCTCCATAATCAGGGTTTTCAAATCATAGATTGTGAAGCCCGATTACTAAAAAAAAAGCCTGCAATGCATGTGTGACAGCATTTTAACTTTTTAAGCATTTTTGTATAACTGATCAAAAGGTTAAACATTAACCTATTAAACTGTCACTATTCTCATACCTAACCACACCCCTATCTACCATCATATAAATGCCTTTGTGTCATAGCTACTTCACCACCTTTGACCACATTGTGCCACTGATAATTGGGAACTGCATGCTGTGGGTATTGGTCAATGCTCGTTTGCAGTACGTATTGCTGGTCCCAAATCAGTGGTCAAATTCTACATTCCTATGACGGAGTCATGTACGGTCTTGTATATTTTTAATTAGCACATTTTAACAGCTGCTGTTGATATGTCGGTACCAAATGATGCAGCTCAATTGACCGACCCCAGAGGTATGTTGTTGCCAATAATAATCACGCCATGATTTGTCCACTGCTGGATGACGGCCTCCCCAAGCTGTTGCCATCCCTCTTACGAAGCGACGACCCAGCTGGCACCTGCGCATGAGCTGGTTTCATCGCTCCATCTCTACGGATGACACCACCCTCTCGGGCGTGCCTTAATTTGGCCGCTACTCCGTCATTAATGCAGTAGTGTAACACTTTATTTAACCAGGCAAGAACCCACAGAGACCAAAATACTGTTTTGCAAGCGAGATCTGGGTCTCCCTTGAAAGCAGTGCAGTAAATGACAGACCTAACAGGAGTTATGAGGAAAATTCCATTGCACGTTTGGGAAAAGCATGGTTGTCATATGTGGATTGTAACAAAACAGTTGAAAGTATATCGTAACAAAATACTAACTTAAAGTTAGACATGACAAAATCAATAAGTGGACAATAACTCCTTCGTATATCCGTCTAAATAAAAGTATTTCTTACACAACCCATTAGCTGCATGGCCTTCTGGGAGTGCATAACTTCAGCAGCGTTGATTTCAAGATGAGCAAACTGTGGACTGGTTTCGACGCACAGTGTCTCATCAGCAGTCTGGCTTGCGTGAATAAATGCTGCCAAACGACTGACTTACAGACATAATGCATAATACTATCATTCAAAACCAGTGTTAAATGAAGTTCAACGATGAGTTAACCATGGCCTGAATTTGAACTCATGGGTCACATGGTTGAAAGTCTCAGAGCACTAGCCGTCGTGCTACGCTGTGACCCTAAATGCTTTCAGATAATATACATGGCTTATTTGTTGATATCATAAATACACTCTGCAATCTACCAAGTTTGCCCGTGGCTCCGCTCAACAATCGCATGTAGACGCGATAATGTCCCCACCGCCGACTCTAACGACCGACTGTCCTTGTTCGAACAAAGATACAATGATACTAAAGTTCAGGTGTGCATACTTGTGTGGATAACGCGCGGATTACCAAAGCAATTGTGGCTTAAGAACACCAGGAGGCAAAAGGCTGAGTGTCTCGACCAGGTCGACTTTGTAAAAAAAACGGCTATGTCGGCTCAAGTTCTTAGTTGGTAAAATAAACTCTCTGCAGACTCGGTACCCACGCGAAGGGCTGCAAGACTTTCGAGCGCGCAGCCGGTGAAACGTTTGCAGGGAAACCGCACTCGATTCGCACCCCGTCGAGTATGAGTACTGACCAGTGTGTCTATTTCGCATTGACAATACAAATAATGTTGAGTTTTCGTACAGCTTTGTTCATGCAATTCGCATCTCACAGTGGCTGAGGAACCACTCACAAGTTGGAAGGCAGCCGCCAAGCTCTGCTGTCCTCTATTTGCTGTCCTCACATGTGCCTATTTCGTCATCACGCTACCTTGCAGCGCGAGTGATGCGCGCGTACAATGCACTGAGCTATTGAGAAGTTGAAGAAATTAGTGGTATTCGAATCACATTTTAAATATTTATCCATTTACGTCGAGTAAGGGGAGCGGTGGCGCAGTGGTTAGCCCACAGTGCTGTGGACCCGGTCACTCGTGTTCGATTCCTGGGCATGGCCAGCAGTGGCGAGTCATATCTAAACCGGTCACGGGTCTCCTCCCCCCCCCTCCTACCTTTCACCAACCTGCACTGACCAGTGTGGTGAAGTATGGTCAAACAACCCTCATGAGCAACAAAGCAGTGGATTTGATAAGGAGGTTACTGTCAAATGTACTGTGAATTAGATGTGAAGTTGAGTTATATGTAGTTAAAATATATGTATATATTAATTATATGTATCTCGCCACCGTGAAGCCCTCTCGCCACAGTCGTGAGATGTTAACTACCTCGCCTGGTGTACAGGAGGTCGTGGGTTCGATCCCAACCCTGATGCCTGCTGTATATTTGGAGTTTGCATGGTCTCCCCGTAGTCACGTGGATTTTTCTCCGGGTCCTCTGGTTTTTCCCTCCACATTTATAAACGTGCTTTCAGAGTATTTGGCTGCTATACGTTTCCACGTGATAAGCCACTTCGTTGAGCAATAATTTGTGGTGATGTCGCTTCTGATAAGGAGCCACATAGCTCAGTGGGCCTTACCTGGTAAAATAAAAAAAAAACATTTGTTTAAAGTTACCATTTTCCAAATAAAAATAGTTTCTCTTCATCCGC